TTTTCGGCAGTCTGCTCCCCGACTATTTTGAAAAATTCATTCATAGTCCTTGAGAAAACAGAAAAAAAAATACCTTCAAATAAAAACCCAGAATTTATTTCTATGACGTTGCAGCTTGCAATTTGACCGTGTTGCCATTAATTGTCAACATTGAAAATTTGTAATAGATTTAATTCTGAAACGTTGGCAAAATATCATGAAAAAGTAGTTAAATTAATTACTTATGGATTCAAATTCAAATTCATTTATTCCAGGTGTATAGTACAGTAAATTACATAGTATTTTTACCCTGCAAGAGACAAGAAGTCTGTGCACAGGCCCGGTACTTAAAACTAAAGATCCTTAAACTAAACTATTTTTACTAATAGTTAGGAACAATTAAAGTTTTGCATTCATTTTAATAATTTTTTTTTTTCTGTAAATTTCTATTTATTCATACATGTCAGGTAATTGAGAAATAAATTATTCATTGTAATTTTATAATATTCGATAGAAATTGAAGATTTATACATTTATGTTTTGTCTAATGAAAAAATGCTTTATGTTGCATTTGAAAGTTTTGTTTATTTTTTTTACATTCTTTAAATTTTTTGGCAATAAATTATACAGTCTTGTGGCACTTACTAATGATGATTTTTTACCTACTTCCAAATTAGTTTGTATACTAGGAATATTTCTATTTCTAGTATTTGTCTGTCTCTTTAAATATTTATTTTTTAGATATTCGTAATTTAAAATTAGTGTTTTATAGTAGTAATTTTGTTTTATATTTAATATCACATTTTCCCTATATGCTAAGTTTAAAGCTGAGCTTCGTACTTTAAAAATAATTTTTAATATCCTATTTTGTATATTCTGTACATAACCTATGCCGTATGTAGCAACAGATTCGAAGAGAGCGTAATATATTATTAACATAGTTTTAGAGTCCAACACATTTTTAAGATTTGCAAAAACGAAAATTAAGTATCTCAATCTCTTATTCAGTAATGATATGTGTTCTTTCCATTTCATGTTGTTGTCCACCACAACTCCTAAATACTTGTTGGTTTTAGTACTGTCCAAAGATCTGCAACTACACGCGGTACAATCCCCATCTTTTTCATGTATCACTAATTTAATACCATCTGGTACTTTATCATTATATGTACTAAATAATATATATTTAGTCTTTTCGACATTCAGAGATAATTTATTAAGCCTCAACCACGAAGCTACTGTATTAACGACTGTGTTGGCTTGATTTTCTAGATCTGACCAGCCTTCCGCCTGTAGTACCATGGCTGTGTCATCTGCATATGACAAAATTTGTGCACCAGTGTCAAGCTCCAGTAAGTCATTCAGATAAACAACAAAGAAAAAAGGTCCCAAAATGGTTCCCTGTGGTACACCTACTTTAACTATTAACTCATTACTATAAACATTATTGACTCTCGCCATTTGTGTTCTATTACTCAAGTAATTTCTTATTAGATCAAATGGAATACCTCTTATTCCCATCCGATATAACTTTTCCAACAGCACAGTATGGTCCACAGTGTCAAAAGCCTTGGCCAGATCCAGAAAAACAGCCATAGTTGGTTGACTTCTATCTAAACATTCATATATATTATCAGCAAAAGCCTTTAATGCATTATTTGTAGACAAATTCTTCCTAAAACCAAACTGATTTTTATTTAATATATCATTCTTTTCAACAAACTTAATAAGCCTAAAATGAATTATTTTTTCGAAAATTTTTGCAATATTAGAAATTAAAGAAATTGGTCTATAATTTGAAGCCAAACGTCTGTCTTTGTCTTTAAATATTGGTACTATCTCTGCTTTTTTGAAATGATCTGGACATTGTCCTGTGATAATTATTAAATTAACAAGTTCCGAAATGGGTTCAGCTATAAAGGAACAGATCATTTGTAATACCTTGACTGAGATTCCGTCTACTCCTCCTGCAGCTCCTTTCTTTAAATTTTTTATGATGTTCTCAACTTCAGTCTTGCTGGTGAAAGACAAAAAAATTGAGTTTTTATTTAGGTTAATTTTTTTCCTAATAATGTGATCATTGTAATTAATTTTTTGAGCCATGTTGGAACCCACTTCATTATAGTATTTATTAAAATGGTTTGCAATATCTCTGTTTTCTTTCAAAATTAAATCATTTTGTAAAATTTCCTCAATTTCCGTTTTTTTTTTATTACCTTTGCCTAATTTTTTATTAACATAATTCCAAGTAGTTTTACTATTATTACAATTATCTAAAACATAATTTTTTTCAAAATTATTTTTTGTAATGGTTATTAGTTTTTGTAAAATTTTATTATATTCATGGTATTTATTTTTGAGAAGTACATTATCCCTGTCCCTACACCAAGCAAGATAAAGTCAGATAAATTCAAGATTTAATCATTTTTTTTTTTTTAATTATGTTTAAACACAATTTAAAACAATTTTTTATGTTTAGTTTTATTTTTTTTACGTTGCATTACATTTAGTCACAACCGACAACAGCGCATTCGAACCTTTACGTACTTTTACAGAGGATAACACAGCCGAGCCGGTCGCATTTTTGTATCGAGCGCCCAGTATACCGCATTCGGGTAACGTCGTATTAACCGAGGCCTGTCTCATAACGAGCGTCTGATTTCCCGATCGATTGTCAAGCTACCGTACGCTTGATACTAGTCTTCTGCGAAATTATGGATCAGCGTCCAACAATTCAGTTTTTTTTTTTAATTGTTTATCATTTATTATGCACTGGCCAGAAAATTATATGTACCACATTGTCGATTCCAGTGAAATACGAACTAATTTCAAGACTAAGCAGGAAGTCGAGGTAAGGGAATAAGTAAGAGCAAAATTTTTTTTTATCTACATAACCTTACCATGAATAGAATACCATGGCGAGATAGAATAGGCCACTTTCACGTTTTTTCGAAAACATTTTTGAATTATTGTGTTAGCCATTCTTCCAATGACATTATCATCTGTATACTTTTTTCTCCAAGAAAAAACGCCTATTTTTTGAAATACAGGGTGCCCCACGGTGGATGGCGTATTAGACGTTTATGGAGAACTAAAAAGCGGATCATTTTGAAAATTTGGCAACCGGGATAAACGACCATGATCTACACTTTAAAAATATTTTTGACCATGCGGTGTTGCCGCTTCTACTCTAAACTAGTGGCAACATCGCTATTTTAAATAGAACACCCTGTATGTGATTGCATATTTGGATTCTATGTAAAATTCTGAGCAGATTTCCTGTAATATACCCTATACCTAAGTTCAACTGCTTTGGAAATATTGACAGTTGAAAATTGACTTTTTGTAACTTTGACAGGCTATAAAACCTAATTGGTCAATTTTAGAGGAAAACCGATTTCACATTCCTATCTTAGATTTTGATAAACTATCATTTGACACCAACTTTGAACTTAACCGGAGATTAAATTTAACTAAAATTTTTAATCATGGATTTGATTCAAAGTTGGTGTCAAATGATAGTTTATGAAAATCTAAGACAGGAATGTAAAATCGGTTTCCCTCTAAAATTAATCGTTCAGGTTTTACAGCCTGTCAAAGTTGCAAAAAGTCAATTTTCAACTGTCAATATTTCCAAAACAGTTGAACTTAGGTATAGGGTATATTACAGGAAATCTGCTCAGAATTTTACATAGAATCCAAATATGCAATCACATACAGGGTGTTCTATTTAAAATAGCGATGTTGCCACTAGTTTAAGAGTAGAAGCGGCAACACCGCATGGTCAAAAATATTTTTAAAGTGTAGATCATGGTCGTTTATCCCGGTTGCCAAATTTGCAAAATGATCCGCTTTTTAGTTCTCCATAAACGTCTAATACGCCATCCACCGTGGGACACCCTGTATGTTAGAACGATTTAAAAATCGAATTTTTAAAGCAGGTAAAAATTAACAAGATTTTTGCTATTTACTTAGGGATTGGTATACCTGCAATCGTTATTTGACAAATGCGGAGATTAGATTCAGGCAGATGTAAATAATTATTTATGATGCTGTCTCTAAGTAACAAAACTAACCAAAACTAACCCAAATTGGAGCTGAGCAAAAGGTTAAGGTAAGGACAGCCTTAGGGTTAGTTTGGGATAGTTTGTTAGAGACAGCATCAAATAACTAGGCAAATAGCAAAATCTTATTAATCTTTAAGTTTTTTGCTACTTTCCATTCCACTTAGTGAACTACTAGAATTAAAATTGCTTTACGATTTGACTACCAGAACCAAAATTAAACTAATACATATTATCAAGTAGCTTGATGGTGAGGAGCCAGGAAAACTCAAAAAGATATTCGAGACTGTAGGCGCGAGTCGCGAGTCGCGAGTATCGAGCATATGGTAGTCCGAGTGATTTTCGTACTACCGTGCGCTTGATACGTGCCGAGGTCGGGTACCCCGAATGCGGGTTGCTGGACGCTCGATACAAAAATGCGAGCCGGTCAGCTCCTTGCAGCAACATGAGCCAAATGAAAAATATTCATGTGACCTCATCAATCGGCGCGTTTTAAATCATTTTGAATTTGGCCAGTTTTAAGTGCCTGAAAAAAACTTATTCAACCTTGCAGAACTTTTTTTTTTTGGTATATATGCCGAAAATATCCTTTGGGATTTTATACTTAAATTACGATTTAAATTTTAGTGAAAGAGCTCATTATCAATGTTTTTCGAAAAAAAATAAAAAAACTCTTAGGACTTTTTATTCCAAACAACTTTTCTCAATAACATTTTGCTGGAATTTCTAAAATAAGGGTACTTTACAGTACAATTTTGATATTGTTTGAGCTACCCTGTATGCTGTTTGACTTGCAACCATTCTCTATATGATTATCAGACATGCACCAACTTTTGACCTTGTTTGTATTTGGGTTGTGCTATTACTAAAAAAAATCCTCATATGTTGCACACTTAAATAATCACACTGTATAGAAAAAAATTCTACGTATAAGTCATCAGACTTATTTTTACTCACCTTTCAATCGTGACAGATTGTGCTGTTGTCACTAGGCTGACATTGGCGTACTTATTGATGCTATGGGTATGTCTATGACCCAAAGTAGGTACTGTAAAAAAAAATGTTTTTAGTTTTTGGCAGTATGTAGTACCAACTTAAAATTTATTCTCGTCTCAAAAACTGAGAGTGTAACAAATTATATTGACAATACCATCAGTGCGGCACAACTGAAATATTTGTACACTTTTTATTAGTGTAGTGCTAATTATTGATTTTTGCAAAACACAATTTTTTTTTTGGTAAATACTTGGTTAGTTTCCAAGATGGCGGACGAATCAGACGACGATTCAGAGTCGAGTGCTAAAGATGCTAAAATTAATGGTTTTAAGTGTTGTGCGAGGAAAAGTTGTTCAGTTTGCGTTTGCATCAACTGTTTCTCCATCTATCACAACAGTTGCATCAAACGGATTGGCTCAGTAAAGCGAATTATTGACAATACAAAAATCGAATGCTGCGTGCCAACAGTGAATCTGGCGGGAACCAGTGCTAGTGCAGTCACTAACGGCGCTAACGGCAACAATGATCTACATAAAATGGAAATAGCGAAAATGTCGGTGGAGACTGATTACCTTAAAAGGATGTTTGAGGAGGTAATCGACAAAAGCAACATCTTAAAACAAAGCAATGGGTTATTATGTGAAAAAATATGTACCCTAGAAGGCGAAAAAAAGGTAAACACACAGCCGTCTTATAGGGATGTGGTCAATATGGGATCGATAGCAACATCGATATCAAATTGATATAGTTCAGAGCAGCGTGGCAACATGGCTGAGGGCTCTACAAGGAACGCGATAGTAGTAGTAGTTCAAATGCTCAACGGAGAATTGGAATTGGCAACTGTGATATATGTGCATAACGCCTCTAATAACTCTAAATACTCTAAAAATTCAGTATTCCCATCTTTCTGGAAACGAGCTAAAGTATGTCCTATTTATAAAAAGGGAGATAGGTCAGATATTAAAAATTATCCTCCCATTGCGGTGCTATCAGCGCCCGCTAAAGTATTTGAGGCAATTATATACAACACAGTTTACTTTTCAGTTCAAAACTTAATCTCAAATTCATCAACATGGTTTTCTGAGCAAACGATCTACTACCTCCAATCTAATGAATATAACTCAAGACATATCGGAAGCATTAAACGAACGGCTCCAGTTAGATTCAATTTATACAGACTTCGCTAAAGCATTCGACAAAGTATCACATAAAATATTAATAACTAAATTGAATCAGGAATTTGGTTTTAGTAATCGGTTGCTCAGGTTGATGACTTCCTATCTACACAATAAGGAACAACAGGTAATTATGCGAGGATACTCGTCTGTTCCTTTTAGACCCTCATCGGGAGTGCCTCAAGGCTCCAACTTGGGTCCGCTATTATTCCTAATGTTTATTAATAGCATAACATTTGTTATTATTAATGCATCTTACCTTTTGTTCGCGGATGATTTAAAAAAATTTACTATAAAATAAAATCAAACAATGATTGCTACTCATTACAAATGGATTTGAATAATATTTTAGATTGGTCTGAAAAAAAAAAGAGCTTCATTTGAACATATCCAAGTGCGCAATTATAACTTATTCAAGAAAAAAAGAAGCAATCATGTTCGACTACAGCATGAACGGCGTATTCTTGTCGAGAGTAACTGAGGTGATGGACCTAGGGGTGACCTTTGACAGTCGGTTAACTTTTAACAGCCGTGTATTTAATATTTCTAACAGAGCGATGAAAATGTTTGGTTTTATGGTTAGGCATAATCGCGATTTCTCTGATCCAGTTTGTATAAAGCATTTATACGTAAGTCCTATACGGAGTCTGCTAGAATATGCAAGTGTTGTCTGGTGCCCAAACTACCAATGCTACAAATATTTATTGGAAAAAATTCAAAATAAGGTTCTGAGATACATTGACTTTAAGGAAACAAAAATCTATGATCCCAGGGGATCTGCAACTACTTTACGTGGAAAGTACAATCTGCCAAGTTCAGAAAAGTGGAGGGGTATGCATGCGATTATGTATTTATTTAAGGTAGTACATGGTATTATTGATGATTCCAATTTTTTCAGTAAATTTAACTTCAACGTACCAGCTCATAACACTAGGCAGTTAAATACATTTTATATTAGTACAATCGCTCTTACCAATTCGCATAAGAATTCACCAGTTTTTAGATTGTGTAATAGTTACAACCAGATACAATCTGAAGTTGATATTTTTGAGGTTTCCCTGGGCTCATTGAAACAATCACTTTTGTCAATAATGTAGCACTTAATTTAAATAATAGTTATAGATTGGAGTAGATAACTTTGGGTTTTGTTAGTAGATAACTTTGAGTTTTGTTAGTTTAAGTTAGCTTAAATCATTGTACTTTATAATTGGGTGCGTCAGCAACCTGTTAAGTGCTTGAAATAAATAAATAAATAAGTATCTTTGCATCGAATGAATTGAAATGTAGGGACTTTAGACATTTCCTGGTCAGGTGATTGTGATTTGGAGACCCTGTGGGTCGAAGTTGTTTCTAAAAATGTTTCTTGTTTGGTGGGTATTTTGTACAAACCTCCCGCGGTCATTTTTGGGGCTCTTGATGCAACTGAAACTATACTTTCTTCATTGTCACCATCGTATGATCATGTGTTTCTTGTGGGTGATCTTAATATTAATTTATTATTAAAAAATCAAGATTGTATATACTTTAACTCTATTTTGGAATTGTTTAATCTGTCTCAAATAATTACAGAACCTACTAGGGTATCCAGAAGTAGCAGCACACTAATTAACATTGTATGTATAGATAAATCATTGTGTATTGAGAAATCGGGAACTATGTAAATGTATAATCTAACAGACCATAGATTGGTGTATGCGATCTTGGCGTTAGATGTTCCAAAATTTATAGCTAAATATCGAACCTACAGGGACTTTTGAAACTTTAGTAGGTATTGATGAGTTTAATACAGAAATGAATCATAAGCAATTTGAGCTTATCCTTCAACGAGGATCATCTAGCACCATAGTTGAGTCTCTTAATTATCAGCTGACAGAAGTATTTGACAGATTTGCACCTTTAAAAACTGTTTTGATTAAACAAAAATTTAAACCCTATATAACTGATACTATAAAAGAAATCATAAAATTAAAACGAAATGCTTATAGCAAATATACAAGAACCAAAGAACCTTATCTCAAGCACACGAAAAACTATCTTTCATTTGCTATTCGAAGTGAAAAGAAGGCTTGCATGTCATTCGAATTGAATAAACTTAAAAAAGATCCTATAAGAACTTGGTCAAAAATGAACGACTGGAATATTCACTCAAAAAATCTAAATAAAATCACCAACCGCTTCGGCAAGTGTCTGTCAGATGGTTGCTCCAATTTATGATGCTACTCTGGAGTTTTTTAATAGTAATAAATTTGCAGGGCTGGATAATGACTAATTTGTCTTTGGGAACTTAACAAATTATAAATGCAGTGGAATTGATAATATAAGTCATGATATGCTACTGTATAGCCTAGACTTTATTGTGCCATCACTCACTAAGCTCTGTAACCGATTTCTGCAAACTGGGGAATTTCCGACTGTTTGGAAAACCTCAATTGTAAAGCCTCTTCCAAAGTCTGCTAAGATCAGTACTATTATCGAACTCGGACCCATTGGTATCTTGCCAATATAATCAAGAGGATCAGCGTGAAAAAGTGGGCAATAGGAACAATTTCAGGCAGGGACTTCGCAAAAAGCGCGTGGTATATGGAAACAACAATACTAGCCAGGACCAAGTTGTATCTATGCTTAATCACTTTTTTGTCTCTGGGTTTACTCCCACTACACAGGATGAAGAAGTCCTCAATTTCGTAAGACAAATTGACCCTAATGAAACATATGAGTGTGAAAAACTACAGTTAGGTAACAGCAACAGAGTTGGATCATTTAAAGTAGGTATCCCCTTCTACTTAAAAAATGATTTTCTAAACCCGAATCTTTGGCCAAAAAGTATTGTGGTGAGTGATTTTTTAGAGAAACCAGTAAGACATTAGATTACAATATATTTTATGCAAATTGTTCTAGCTTGATAAAGAATATTGATAACATCTCATTTGCTATTTATTGTCATAAACCATTAATAGTTTGTCTGTCAGAAACTTGTGTTACAGATGAGATTAATCAACATGAAATCTCGATTAACGGGTATGACATAGTACAATGCAATTCCACTAGCAGGCATACTGGTGGAACCATTATTTATATCAGGAATGACATACAGTATAGTGAGATTATGAATTTTTCACTTCAAATGAACACTTGGATTGTAGCGGTCAAAATAAAAATTAAAAATATTTGTTTTGTAATATGCGCACTGTATCGATCCCCAAGCGCTTCAATTCCTGAATTTCTGCAGGTTTTAGAGTCTAAATTTGAAGAGCTAGTATCGCAAAAATGTTTGTTAATCATACTTGGCGATTTTAATATCGATTTTAAAGTTAATTCTATTTATAGCAGGCAAATAGGGAGTATTTTGGATTGTTTAGGCTTAAATCAGTTAGTTCAAGATTACACAAGAGTAACATTAAACAGTGCAACTTTAATTGACTACTTGATAACAAATGAAAACTCACTACAGCATTTAGTTTCTGATAGGCCGAAAGTATCGGACCATTCAAATATTTTAGTATCCCTGGACATAAATAAACCCAAAAATAATGCCAAAGAGGTAATTATAAGAAGAAACTTTTCAAATTTTCGTAAAGATGACTTCAAACAATATTTGCTTACTTTGAATTGGTCATCAGGTAGTCAACATATAAATATTTTAGCAGGTACTTTCACAAGAAATATTGAGGATGCGCTTAATGTTCACGCTCCATTTAAGGAAATTAATAATTTTAATAATTTTAAGCTAAGAGTTTGGTTCAGCTATGATCTTATGATGAGTTTACAATATAGAGATCAGTTATTTAGGTTAGCAAAGGAATCGGGAACTGAGGAACATTGGAACAACTACAAGATTGTGAGAAATGAAGTAACAACCAAGTTGAGACATGAAACA